TCACCCTTGCTCTCAAGGTCAATAGAATATAACCACTGGTCCAATAGAAATAACTTAAGCGACCAATTACCAGCCAATTGTATTACTCAATCTTGTTACAATGATAATGAAGCTATTGATTTTCTCTGCGATTTGCCCAAGTCGATATTTTAGACACAACATGTGATCCCCAGGCCAAATGTCTAGTCTTTAGGGGGAATTAAGGCAATGGGTATTTAGATAGTCGTAAACTACCCTTTTGATGTCGTGAGCCAAGATCTTGAACCGTTCCACAAACATTTGTTCAGGTTTTAAGAACACCTCTTGTAACAGGTAATGAAACCTTTGGTTCCCAATTCTAAAACTGGTTCTTTAAGTTTACTCTTGGATAAAACGCTTAAGCGTTCCTTATTAGGAACAGTACACAATTTCCCGTCCGATGTAGACTCCATCCGTGCAGGGGTGTTTAAAGATGTGAGTGATTATGTCCAGCTCGGATTACAACATTCTTCTGATGTCTGGTGAATGTATTATTTTATGATTGTGACAGTTGTCTCACAGGATCAGTGGTAGGATTTTAAATTTCTTGTGAAAGAAGTTACACACGTACGGCAGTGGTTCAATATACCCCTGAAAGCACCGCTAGACACTGTGTTATACAGTATAACCAGAAATTATTGAGAATTTGAAGATTTTAAAAATTTTTTTCACTCATTACTCACGTATTAAATGTGAATATTAGCAGAACATAACTCCAGATTCAAAGACAGGTGAACAGTTAGTATTTTGTCAAGTCACCATGGGCAGCAATGCAGGCTTCAATGCGGCGGGGCATACTACTCATCAAAGAAGTTAGAAAGTCGTGGTCCATGCTGTCCCAATATCGGACCACCTCTTCTTTCATTTCAGCAATATTTGTCGGATTTTTCTTATTGACACTTTCCTTCATAAGTCCCCAAACATTATTCTATTGGATTTAGGTCAGGGCTATAGCTTGGCCAATCTAATAATGTCATATTTTGGGTCCGAAACCAGGCCTGTGAATGCTTTGAACGATTTTTTGGGTCGTTGTCTTGCTGGAAAATCCAAAAATGTCCATAGAACACGTGAGCAGATGGAAGTAAATGTCCCTCGAGAATATTTGTGTACCACTCACTGTTCATATTCCCTTCAAATACACAGAGGGACGTTCCCCTAACACAGACATGCCACCCCACACGTTAAATTTTGGACTGTGCTTTGGGCGCTGATACAAAGGTTTTTCGGTTTGTTTGGTCCAGAATTTCTGTGTATTAGGAAACAGCCACACAGAACTTTTATCTGAGAAAATCACATTGTCCCAGTTAAAATTTCTATGCTGTAAGCACCAGTTCAACCTTCGCTCCTTTTGTTCAGGTTTCATGATCGGTGATGGAATTCCTTGACTTTTCTGCCAACCCATTGCATGCAGTGCTAATTGTCTCCTTACAGACAACCACAGTTCCTCTATCAATCATATCCAGCCAAAGGTTTTCTAAACTCCTTCGTTTGTTTTTAGAAACAAGAATACCAAGCCGCCTCCTGTCACCGACAGTCAATTTTCTTGGCCTACCTGCGCAATATTTTTCAAAACACGATAAACAGTGGACAAAGGGATGCCTGTTCTACTTGAAATCACTTTAGCTGATCTGATGTCCTTGTTATAATACTCTAAAATCAACTTCCTCTTCTCTAAATCATCCATACTGAGGATCACTGAAAATGTCGTCTGCTAGCAAGTAAACAAAGGGGGATAACTCTTCACAAACTAATGAAAAAGGATTAACGGAGTTGTCTCTCTTGAATGAAACCAAGCACTTGATAGCTGGTCAAGGTTGTTTATACTAGAAATCCAATTATACATATTCCTAAAATTCTCAATAATTTCTGGTCATACTATTGTTGGTGACTGTCGGTTAGCCCATGGAACTGTCTTGTTTTAATTATTCATATATGCTAAATAAACTCAAAATAAGTAGTGGTACACTAAAATACCTTACAAATTTGACAGACATTTGTTTCTTCGTATGGTTGCATGATAATAATGAACGAATTACGAATACATTGTAACCGGTAAGTATGACAGCAGCTTTTATGACGATGGGAAGATGAGACATTTCAAATATGACGTTTTTGGAATAGTGGTATACCACCGCGGTTTGTAAAACATTGATTCGACGAGGCATACTGCGTGCAGGTCTCCCGATGTTCGATATGACGGAATCTTCCAAACTCCTATTGCAACGCCTGGCTAAATTCAGCCAACGTGATTGGGAGCCTATAAGCCTATATTGCACAAGTCTCACTAGTCATGTTCCAAGAGTTTTGAACGGTGGCATGGTCTTGGCTGGCTGCTGTCCATAGTGTGGATCTGATGCTGCTGTAGATGAGTGGTGAGGGAGCATGAGTATTGTTGTCCGTGAAAACATCTACAGACGGTGTCACTATGTACTGGCCACTGCATACTGACTTCTGCAGCAAGTTTCCAGCATTCCAGTAGATTGTAGTAGCACCTCACAGACGCTGCATTGTTGCTCCATACACAAGGCACGAAATCAAGTAAATTATATTAACTATATGATAAACAGAATCAAGAAGATTGGCAGAAAAAGTGTCAGGAATGACAATGCACTTGCATCGCGCATCTATGTTCAGCACGTGTAAACTATCGCATGTGTTTTGGTGTTTTACAGACGTAAAGGTCTTGCATGGGATGTTTGTCGTCAACACTTATCTCTATTGTAATACTTCTATATTTCATGATCTCCTACTTTTTTAAAGACTATATATGATTTTCAATATTTGCTTGGTTATTACTTCCACCCTTCACAACACTCTTTGTAAATTAATTTCCGTCTTTCTAATGAACGTAACAGCTTGTCTCTTTGAATGTATGTTTTTAATATTGTGACAGTAACATTCCTATGCATTTGTTCGTGATCATTCCCGAAAAGCCAGAATTCTTGCCTCTGTCTCAGACCTTCTCCCAACTCTCTCTCGCCTACCCTACAATACATGACCAGCCCCTAGGTCCATATAGTCGTGTGACTTTAAGAACATGCACGCCTTAGTACGGGATTCGCCCACTAGAGTTGTGTGGGCAATATGATATAGGTGGAATTAAGGCACGTTAGTCTCCGACCAATTGGCCATCAAAGCGAGTTTGATTCAAGCCATCCAGAAATACTCACAGACACAATATCACTGAGACAATAACAGTAACCTCAACGTCTTTGTGTAGACAGGAGATGGACCATAGCTGTGTACCATAGTCACTATGGTCAGGATAACTGACACATGCACGTACGCGAGAAATATATTATGAACTGTTCAGTCATATCCAACATAAAACAGAAACTTAGCATTTGTTTTCCCTGGATTTCTAAACAAACTATAAACCATAACTCAGCCAGTGCCTTTTACCATAATCAACTCGTAGAGTATGCAAACTTTTAAGGAGAGTAGCTACCTTTCGTCACCCTTCTGTATCAAAAGGTAGCTATTTTGCGTATGTTATGAGGAAATAGTAACATTAGCATTATCGTTTTAACATTTATATTTTTACTTCTACTACTACTACTACTACTACTACTACTACTACTACTACTACTACTACTACTACTACTACTACTACTACTACTACTACTACTACTACTACTACTACTACTACTACTACTACTACTACTTCTACTACTACTACTACTACTACTACTACTACTACTCTACTACTACTACCCGTGAAGGTCCGGGTTAGAATATTGATCTTCAGTAACCCATGCTTGTCGTAAGAGGTGACTAATCGGATCGGGTGGTCAGGCTCGCTGACTTGGTTGACACATGTCATCGGCTCCCAATTGCGCAAATCGATGCTCATGCTGTTGATCACTGGATTGTCTGGTCCAGATTCGATTATTTACAGACCACCGCCATATAGCTGGAATATTGCTGAGTGCGGCGTAAAACTCACTCACTCACTCACTACTACAACTGACTAATTCATAAAGCGCCTAATATCCACCACAGAGATGCTCAGTGGCGCTATGACAATATTGGCAATACTAGACTACGTAGCAACAAAATGCACTCTTCTGTATCGTTTGCAAGTAAAATCTGGGAATCTTTGGTAAAACTGAAGCTATTGTTAACTACAGAACTAGGTTATGTCTTCATAATACTGCACAGTATGTCTGGCGGCCAACGGAAACACATTCCTAATAATATTAATGACAAAATTTGCAATTTAATATTGCAAGAAACTTATTATGAACTCATTTAGTATTTAAGAAGCAGTTCGCTCGTAAGATTAACCTCACCTTGCTGAATGTGTGTGCTCCTGTAACCTTTGCCCAAAGTCAATGTAGATACACACCCAATTAATGAGCCACACGTTGGTACGATTCCGGTTATATTTATAACCATGTGCATGAAGACATAGAATGGGTGTATGTATTTGTAAGCACTTGAATGTAGAAACGACAACCTCAACAACAATGTGTGTGTGACGAGAGGTGAAAGTGGGTTTGCAGTCGCATTCAACACTCTGGGGGAAAACTAGCAGCAATGATCTATCTATATAGCCAACTGGAGATCAGATCTAATTAAACAGATTAAAGAGAATTTCATGAGCTTTCCTTTAGCCCTACTTGTCGATGGTTTCATTTTCTTTTGCCATCTAACGGAAATAACCGGAGATAAAAGGTTTTCAGTCATGTGAAAATGGTAGTCATTCTGCCAATTGAATATCGCCCGATGTGTGGGGAATAGGATGAAGAGGGGTAAAAAAAACTCCGTAGGAGGACAACACGCACTAGGGGAAGGATCTGAAATGAAGGGACGAGGGGTAAAGCAGGCACGCGCCACGGAGTCAGAGGGAGAGAGTAGAAAGATAATAGCCGCATCCTTAAAACTGAAACACATCAGAGACCCACCATCGGAAGTTGGGTAATTAGCCTAGCAAGGCAGTGACAATGTGTAACAATCGCACTGCATCGATCAGCTAAGATGTCCCGGACTTTTTGTTTCTGTATAGAAACAAGGAAGCAATGCATTATTCAGCAAGAGACTTTTACTGAAAAGTGTAATCTAGGACCTCGCAGTTTTAGTTCCTCATTGGTACAAGCTTCCTTCTCCATCATTGTCAAGCCACCAGGGGGGCGGTGCCGGAATCGCCCGAGATCTGACTGAGGCGGGCCTCCAACCATGTGTTATTGGTAGCCGACTTACAGGATCGCTCTACGTCTCCCCACAGCCCACGTGTCTCATTAGTGAAGGGATGTGAGAGAACGAGCGCGTTGTTGTTGAACATGTACAGCTACCGTCAGTTATCGCTCACTGTAGTCGTGTAATGACTCATTAACGCTACTCACTCTATTTATTGGGGTGTATGGATCGACAAAGTTAATACTACATTGGTATAGCTTGTTGAGTTTATACAATGATTCGCAATAGGAAAGAGGATGTTTATGTTTTCCTGTAGACCTGTTACTGCCGGTCCAACTGTTAACATCACCTACTTGTTGGATTGAGACATGTGGTGAGCACTCTCTCATGGATCTAGGAGTACTCCTGAGCACCATGGTAGATGTAGAGATCCTCCTGGCCGTGTGTCACCTCTGTGTGGCTTTCGAATTAGGTAAGTTACTTTTTAATACTTGTACATTTTGTGCAGTTTTTCTAGGAACAAAATAAACTTAACTGACGTGATTTAGTTCCCCGAAACGTAAGGAGATAGCGAGTTGTCTTGACTGTTGATTATGACCATTATGTCAATAGGATTAAATAAGGTGGCACTTGTGTAGGTTTCACACATTTGTGAACACCTGCAAGCTGATATGAACTAAAGGATACCGCTGGGTCTTTATAGTCTTAGTTCCTGTGATGACAAAATGGTACGTCTTACGATTATGTATGTGACGTATCACTAGTACGACACAGCTAATATCATTTTGATATTGAATTCGTTCGATGTGAACATTGGATTTGTTACAATGAGTGCGTCAGTAGTTACTGCTTTATGTGAACCAACAACGATAAGACAATGTGTTATGTGGTTTGACCCGGAACGAGCCAAGTACAAACAAATGCAAACTGATGCCACGTGTTGGAAGATGTATCTAATGCAGGCTAAACAAGAACCACACCTGACATGCCGGGACAAGGATGTGTTTCCCAGGGAATCACATGATCTGCTGAACCCCTATTGTCCTGAAGAAACCTTGATCTTTGTAGTGTTTCTGGTAAAATATACAGACATTCCATTTCTTTGACAGCCTCCGTTCTGAGGAATGGTTAGGATTCATGTTATGCCGAGCAGTTTGGAGACATTTAACTTTGCAGTACTCAAGTTAGGGGAAAGTCTAAACTGAGCCATGGTATAATGTGGCTTTAGAACAGCCACACAATATAGTCTACAAAAACAAACTTGCAGTGAAGTTTGTATTGCAAGAAAAGACTGCACGGAATTATGTAATCAGCGGTACACGTGTAATAAAAGCCCTATTAAAAAGACATGTGTTACAGAATAACGAGAGCCCAAAACAGGTAGAGCATCGGGTTGCTATTGACGCTGAAAAGGTCTTTGTCGGACATAGCTACACGACCATGTAACTCGATACGACCTTTAGCTTTCATACAAAGTTGTTCGAGGAGGATTTAAGAACGGTGTGCATTTAGTATTTATACAGAGTCGACCACGAAATGTCTGTGAGTGGGCCAGGTTACATCTGTCAGTTCGTGTTGACCGTATTGCAATGGACAATTATTGATTGAAGATAGCGAGGATGATGGCCACATGAGGATGTCATGAACACAATCACATCTAGATGATGTTCATATGAACGGCTGGCACTTGGGGATTCATGAATGGAAAGTGCAATTTTTGCCAACACATAAACCACCCTCTCGAGTCCATAAGCAAGCCAATATCCTATTTTCATAAAAATCATCGATGCGGCGTGGACAATATAACTCGTGGCTTTTGTTCAGATCAGTTTAATACTCATACAACAGGCAAACCGACCAAAACTTGTTCCAGGTCAGTCATAATATCCCGAATATTCACAGGTAACATAGAAGTATTAGTTTTCACGTTCCAAAAGAGATGTAGATACCCTGCAACGTACTCCGCGTACACAGCGTCAAGGCGGAGAAGGCGTCCCTGAAACACGTCATACAAACGTCGAATACCGCTTGCCTCGTACATCTTTTAATATCAAACTATTTACCAAATTCGTGATTGATTTATCTGACACACCCCGATTTTTAATATGCTGATTATTTTTCTGATAGTAAAGTGAAATTCGTCCTGGTCTCACAATTCCACAAATGAGTTTCTTCTTGTTGTTACGAATTGCTACCTTGACAAGATATTACAATATTGTAATAGCTTGCCAACATAATAGCCAAATATAATATGTTCATTACTTGATCGACCTTTCTTTTGAAAAGACAACATTCCTTGCATATATAAATACACCGTATGGATATTTTGTGGAAAACGGTTATAAAAGTGATAATTAAATTGTCTGAAACACGATATATAATCACGGCGTGTTGCCATTCCCTGGACATTATCTAATTAGCTGCGCGAAACACAATTGTGCCAACACCTCGGCAAGCTCAGTATCAATATTTGATGAGAAGATTCGTTACAAATGAGAGAGGAGTAGGTAATGTGTACGTGCTAAGCTCTAACTACTATCCCATAAAACCCAAAACAAGGATGCTTTTAAACATAATTGGGTAATTGCAAACGGACAGTCCCACTGTATCAGTAGCATGTACCCTTTGCGTGAACCATCGAAAATGTGATATACATCTCTCTCTGAAACTGTAACCGCGGACACAACTACGCTATGGAATAGTTCATGTTGCAATGGAAGTGGAGATAATTAGAAGAGTAGACTTCTCAACGATGCTTGGAATGGAGTGACTGATCACCACAATATTGAGTTTTAGTTATCGGTAATGAATTGATGCCTTTTACCTTTTGGCTTAATACACCTCAATCAAGATTCTTCTCTGGGGAAGCAATTACTGTGATTTTAAGATAGAAGTGCTCAGATGTAGGTTACACTACGACGACTACTGATTGTCATCTGTAATGTTTAGTTCAAATATTATAATTTGTGAACTATGAATGACAATCGCTGTCCGTATTATTTCGAAAGGCTAAGCTACATGCAAATGTACATAAGTGCATCATGTAGCTCTGATACGTATCTGTCTTGGACCGCTACTCTTCCATAAATTAAAGATGCTAAAGCCGCAAAATTGTAAATTGCCCCTTTTCATCTAATGACCGAGAATAGCTGCCAGATTGCTGTGCCGCGGCGTTAAGCAATAATCACCTACTCACCTGTTTGTGTCTACATCTTTGTCATTGGGAAGCGACAGCATGACCACTTTTAAAGCGCTGTTCGTGGCTGACTGTGATGCACGTACATCAAGAACCAAACATCGACCCCATGCCAGTACAAATATGCATTCTTACATTTGTATATAAAACACAATGGTATTCGACTGTATGTGTTTGATGCAGCATCAATGTAGTACAACCCAGGTATATTCGCCATACGTGCTGCTAACGTTATCTCGTTAGCCTGAACCAATTACGTTACGAATAAGTGATAATAAATAGATATAAAGAAAATGATACACTTTTCTTGTTTACAAAGTATACACGCTTTTCTTGTTTACAAAGTATACACGCTTTTCTTGTTTACAAAGTATACACGCTTTTCGCGCAATCTATAATTTGTATTATTTAAATAGTTTTTCCTGGTCAAGCGATATAACACAAGTTCACAGGATTTGTGTAATTAAGAGACTGTATGAAGAATCAATCCAATTGGCTGACCATGACATGGAATGGTGGCGCTCCAATTGCGAGGTCGTGGAGACTCATTTCTCATTTATCACAGTAGTACACATTTACAACCAGGTGACGGCATTGGTGTTCAATCAACCTTAGATGGGTGTATTGTTTTACCATTAGTAGCTGGCGGGAGCAGTAGGTTAATAGGTTCTCTAATTGTGAACATACCAGTTAATTCACACAGTAGAATGGGATTCAGCCTTGGCAAACAGGCGATCTTGGCCTGTTTGATTCATGTCTGCAACACCATGTTTTGTGTGAACCAACTTGCATGTCACAGTAGACACCTTATATAAGTTTATGACTGCACTGATTACAATGTTGCAGGGTAACACCACGGGCTTACCACAGCGTCAGTATCTAGGCCGAAACTCAGGGAAACAATGGAACTTGAGAACTTCGACTAACTAATTTAAACTTTTTATCTTTGGCTATTCAATAATTACTGTTTTCAAACATATGTTTCACTTTCAATAGGACAGAACCGCTTTCATATATTGAAAACATACATACATGCATACATACATACATACATACAAACAGACACATACACACATGCATACATGCATACATACATACATACAAACACACACATACACATGCATAGATGCATACATACATACATACATACATACATGTTTGTATTGTGTTTGATAGTGTTTGTATATTGTTTGATAGTGTTTGTATATTGTTTGATAGTGTTTGTATATTGTTTGATAGTGTTTGTATATTGTTTGATAGTGTTTATATTGTGACCACGGACTACTCACCGTCTATTTGCCCGCTTTTCTCGAACAGCCAATGCTTCAAACACGTCAAGGCGAACATCTGATTTATCTCGTCAATTAAATATAAAAAAATATTACTTTTGAAAAAAGAAAAGAAATGATCGATAAAGAAATACAATAAGTAAAACATGTTTGCCCTTTCATTATTTACCTGTCAGTTTTCTGAAAACCGAAATTCTTTTAAAACGAAAATCATCTGATAAATAATCTGTTTGATTGGCATTTAGAAGTTGGTGACTAATAAGAAAGTAAGATTGTTTATGGATAACAACGTCTTTTATTATATATGATGATGATATATACTCTTGCTTGACAACGGTATAAGAATTCATACCGAAACGTCGCATCATATATAATAAAAGAAGTTGTTATCCATAAACAATCTTACTTTCTCATCTGTTAAATAGATATTGTGAAGTCACGAAGAACAAAGAAATTCATTCAGATCATCATCACAACCCCTTGTGTAAATCTAAACCTCTATCGAACCATTTCACAAATAACGATGCGTTCCTAAAGTCAAAGCTAGCTTACGGGAATAATAGGACTCTAACATGGATCTAAATACAGTAATTACGCCTAGACAAGGGCAATTACTCTGCCCTTCCTTATCCAAAGACGTTTTTCTTTGTGAGCTCGCTAACGCATCTTCGATTCAATTAAGAGCTCCTCCTTTTGTAAGTGAATCGAAAACTGTTCAAATAAAACTGATTTTGTTCCGCAATGCAGTTAACTCCCGTGCTAATATAGATTGATAGATTTGCGAGTGTGCATCGTGAGGTAGATCTGGCATTATCCAAGCCAGTGGGATGATTAAGGAAAAAGTAACGACATGGGCAAATAGAGTTGAACATAACTACGGAACTGATATGTCCACATCCATGCAAGATTTGTTTATGTTAAATCACATTTTGAAAACCTAAAATGCCTAGCTTTTCATGAATGCCTGTTTGACGACTAGCGTTGAAA